AAAAAATCAATAATAGATAAACTACTGAAGTTTATATCACTGTGAATTTCTTCTAGGACCGTCCTTGGATGATGGTCCAAAGGTCTGCCAAGTTTAAAGTCGATCAGATTTAGTAAACTGCAAAAGTCGACTGGTGGAAGGAATTGAGTTGAAAAGAAAAAAAAATATCTGAAAAACAATACCTGTTTCGGCAACTTGCTAAAAAGAAAAACAAAATAATCAGAAAAACAACACTTGTTTCTGAAAAGTTGCTGAAACAGCTAAAAAATAATCAGAAAAGAAAGAGTTGTTCAGGCTGTTGCCAAAACAGCTAAAAAAAATCAGAAAAGCAATACCTGTTTCGTGAGTTGCCGAAACAGCTAATAATAACATCTTTGCTCGTTATTTATCCTATCCAAGTGTTCCGGAAGCGCACCATCAGGGGTCAATTTTCAGGCTCTGTTATAGGTAGACTTGTCTCTTTTTGCCCAACGGTTTTAGAGTTGTTTTAGAAAGTGGTTTTGTTTTACCACTTATTTACCCATACAGTGTTATGCTCTTTGCCCAGCAGTCCAGCGATTCAGCTGTTATTCTGCATAGGGCAAAAGTATGCTTAATAATTTTGGGAAAGGACTGATTAAAAATGTAGCATATCAAACCCTTATTCAAAAGAAAACCGCTTCTTGTCATTGTTTTGAATGTCGACCTGATCCGACAACCCCCCCACACACACAAAACCATCGAAAGGCTAACCCGTTCCTTCGGAGCGCCGGGCGGCATTATTTCCGCCCTAAGTTGTATGTACATGTATTTTGAATTTTTTTTGGGGGGGGGGGCATTTACTGTCGGACAGTGAGTGTGCCCCAACTTGCAAAAATGCACAGTTGCATTCGATGACCCTCTCTACGAGTACCGAAGGAGCCCCTAAGGGGTCAGGCACAATGAAGATTTTTTTAATTCTGTTCCCTCGAATTATCGTTTTGTTCCCTCAAAATCATCTCGTTCCCACGAAATAATATAATAAGTACCACTCTATATGTTGCCCATCGTTTGCTCATATGCATGCACTCCCAGTCCGTGTCAAGAAAGCCGACCATAAAC